ATTGAGGAGGGGGGAGTCACTGTGAAAAGCGCTGATTAAAGTTGCAGTTCTCAAGGAAACTAACTGCATATTTCGGGAGTTCATCAATGAGGGAAAATACTTGAGCCAACCCCTAGGTTGACGAAATAGTATCAGATTGATAGACGAAAACATGACGCGCAAAGTCAGGCCGCCAGTTTTCCTAGATACTAGTGGAACGACAGGTTTGCTAAAATGAAGTAGTGGACTCATTCGATTGCAAGACAATACGAATGTTTGGAACTTTATTTTGGTGATCGACTTTTATAGGAAGATATCCATTAAGCATACAGAATGGGGCAATCTTTAAATTCTGTGGAGACAACGCAAGGGGAATTCAGGGGACCCAAGTTGCAGGAGACAGGGTGTGACAACTGGCGCTTTGACTCGTTTCCAAAAAGTAGTGGCTTAAACGGATACAGAGTTCGTAGTGTTCCATATTTAAACCTAGCCCATCCTATCAACTGTAACTTGAGCATCAGAGTGGGAGGAATGTGGTTTTGCTGATCTAATGAAACAAAGTAAATTCCATCTACAAATGATCGATGAAGGACGCTAGATGTCATACAGAGGGATTAACACTGTGGGGTAAATGAAAGGAATGCGGGTTCTTTTTGAAACGAATAAGTTATAATCCTCAAGAACGCAGGATAGGACACGCAGATATCTTGGGAGCGGGTGGTACGCAACTGATGGGCTTGAGTGAATAATCCAAAGAGGCAAATAAGTGGGTCCCCTAATGCTAGCCACACGTGTTGTGCACCAAAGCCGATGTGCTGAGAAACATTGGCAGCAACCCAATATAAGAACCTGCACCAATATTCCGTTTGCTTGGATGACCCGTAACATAACCCCTGATGTAGGATAGTCTACCGACGAGAATAATGCTTCCACAAACTGGAAAAGCTCGCGGAAACATCATGTTGACCATATCCTGGTAACGTGACTTTAGTTCACCCCCCTTCGGCTTTCCTTTACTGAGTTAGCCATAATGTAGCTATTTCGATGTCGTCGAATCAGTACAACGGACGTGTCCGAGCCACCTCAGGTACGCGGAAGAAGTATACGGTCCACTGCATACATTCCACTGCGACAGAGCAGTTCCGTGTCAACAACTCTGTCCCACCAAGAGATGCACAGAACGAGGTAAATGTTTTTTTAAGTTGACGCGCATCGTTAATGGCTTCCAGAGGTAGTTAGATTGAACCCACATGATACAGACCAGTTATTACTGCACGTTGACACAAATGCTCAAGTAAATTGTTCTTTCGGCATCCCAGAAAATGGAAGCCATGATCTGGCCAGTCGGAGGTCCAGAAAGGAATTTTTGGATGGTGGTTAATTAGTATGTTTCCATACTATACCATGCCTTTTGGTGTCAAGTTCAAAGTAGTGGATCCAGGTTTCACGCAGTCCCCATATGAGATCAGATGTTTGGCGGATATACTTTACGTAGATCCAGGTGGATCTAGCATACCTGAAAACGATATGGCATCAGCTGAGCAGTTTGCAATCGTGGCATCCATAGCGTATTGACTTTTCCTAACATCAAATTATCCGCCAAAATTGAGAGCACACGGCCAGTTGAAATACCAAGACTATTATGATTACAATTGTTTTATGCCACCTAGTTTGACGATGATGTGCAATATTTCAACGTTTTCCTGTGTCGCCGACTGTGTTGCGCGCCCACAACGGTCAGGAGCTATCCATGAACTTACTCTGCCGCTTGGTACCTGTTGGATAGACAGGATCATTGCCACCTACAAATCTTTATGCATTTCTTACGGGACCTTTTCCTACCACACCACAAATTTACAACTGCCCTTTCTCAAACAGGTTAATTTCATTCATCATCGTACAGTAACATAAAACTGATTGGGAACATGCATGAAAGAATTACGTGACGTTTAAGATTTTACGCATTATCTCACAGTGATTTGAGTTAATCATATAGCAACAACTACCTTTAAAATAATGATTCCAAGTATGTCAGTCTACTAAATTTCTGATTATCCGTCATACAATCTGCTGGGTATTACGGAACGAAAGTAATACAGCTTTTATGAAAACTCAGAACCCTCCGGTGAGGCACTCAGTCAAATCCAAACCAAGTTCGAACTGCGAATCGTCTATCTTCAACCTAACGGCTGACACAATGAAAGTAGGTGCTCGACAATAATTCTGCGTATTATTCCCGACCGGTAAGCGAGCTAGAGTGCAGCGAACCCAAGTAGAAACTATATCACGTGTTATCTACGATACGAGCTCGAATGCGAAAACGTGTTTCCAAATTTCGTTACTTCCAACGAGGTGCACAATGAATGTCGAGCATGAAAGGGTTGAAAAATAAACATAATGGTGTTAATAACCAGAATAGAGCTCCCCAGGATTCTTTACTGGCAAGCAAGCGCTCGGTGAAGCAAATCTCGGGAAAACCCCGATCGTTTGGAGGTGAAAAAGATGGCACGGCCCGAATGTGTGTTTTAGAATCGTTTGTTGTTCGAGTGTAAGGAGGTTCTAATACGGCAAAATCAGTCTGTTGCCTAACAGAAGTCAAAGACGTAGACTCGGTGACAGTGTGAAAACGATTGACGTAGTTTGTACGTTTGACTTTTGGCTCAATGTAAGCCGATTCACTGCGAACAATACTGACAAATTTCTTCGAGCAGTTTCTTTTCTAAAACGAAATATTTTGGTTGCCTCCATAGAAACCAGGATCGGTTTCAGACACCTTCAGACCACATCGATGGGAATGAAAACGAATGGACAAGTGTGCAATTCCGGATGTTTTCGTCGTTCGCTAACGGTAAATCAGGAAGAGGTATGTCGAGAGGAACGAAAATACCGTTCCAGATGATTAGCATAAGACGCAAGATCTAGTTCTCCAGTAACACGAAATTCCAGTATCATTTCAGCTGGTAGTCTGAGAGTCGTACCAAAAAGCAGCTTGGTAGGTCAGAATCTTGTATCTTCTTTGACGTTATTACGGATACCAAGATGAACGCCTGGTAGACTTTCAGACCAAGGTTTTAGGCGATGGTGGCTTTCACTTGCCATTTGCAGTTAAACGTTAAGTGGTTGTCTAGATGTGGGTACAATCTAAGACATGGTTCAGGTTAAGCAACAGTGTTGAACCAAGCAGGTACCCACTAATAGTGGTAATAGTGTCTGACACATCGAACAGGGAAACCCGTGACTTAACAAGCACCAGCAACATTTTCAGATAAAGTGTTCCGAAAATGGTATCGTGTAGTCATTAAGCAAAACCATCGACGCAACTCAGTAAAAAGACAAAACCGTTCGATGGTAGTGGTGGCGGTTGGCCAATTATACCAAAATGAACATATCTGGAGCGTGCTTCTGGAAGCGAAACATTTCCGGAGGTAATGACGGTGTGTCGTCGCATCTTAATACTTTGGGAGCTGAGACAACTCGCAGCCCATTTTTTGACGTCCGCACACATGTTAACACAGATGTAACGATCTGTGATCAGCTTCAGGGTGGATTAACAGCTCGCTGCGATAATCCATGGAAATGGTCAAACACTGTTCGCCCGAAACTACTGTTGGACAAACGGTCTGCGCTTATCAGTGGAATAGGGCAATAAATCCTTTAATCGGTATTTGACACTGGCAACTTCGATAATTTGGGTCAGAGATTCGACAGAAGCTTCGTAACCTCATGATCGTTAGTCTGAGCAACAGAAATCTGTTCGGGATCACTGGGGGAACGCAAACCCAGTTCAGCTTTGGCGCGAGACAATACATCAGTGATAACACTGTATCATCGAGATAACAGATGTCAACACTGAACTGCGCAAAGTTGTCTAAGTGTCTTGTTTCCCGTGGGCCGTAGCAATGACATTCAACATGGCAAGCGCAAACAAAAGGATTGTGGTCCGACTAGATTAGCAAACGCCGTCTTTCAAGGATGCAGTAGAAATTTATGACGGCTAAGTATATTGCGAGAAGCACGCGGCAGGTGGCAGCTTCTGATGAATGGAAGACAAACTGATTTTCATTGCAGACTAGTTGCCGTAGAAAAGCACTCAGAATAGATTGTGAAGCATCAGCCTTAATATTTGTAGCAGCTGTCTCATCGCTTTTCAACTAGCTCATATAGTTACCTGGCTCAGTTTCTGTTTAGTGAAAATAAACGCTGTTTCATCTTGCAGTGTCAGCATACAATTCCTAGGGTTGTTTTTAATTTATTTAGTCTATGGTTGGAGGATGGCAGCACCATTATACTAGCATTGATTCTATTAGGACCGGTTTTCAGTTGCCAGGGACGATACATGGTTTTAGACATCGGTTTGTAAATATCGTTAGCAGCAACATAAGGAGTTAGTGAATCTTTTAAAAGTAACTGGGGCTTATTCTTTCCAGTGCACTGTAAACGTCATCAAAGTCAGGGCTGGAAAATTGAAAATGTTTTACACGGGCAATGAAAGCGTACAAAGCACCAAAGAGCTGAATTACAAATTGGGGTTCCCCATACTTGCTGTGACAACCCGGTTGTTGGAATTTTCCCCAGCGAACTGCTACATAAGTTCTTGCAAAGCTCAACAGTTTTGGTTTCTCAGAGCAGCTTTATGTTGAAGCGTAAATATTTCATCCTGACAGTTATTTTGCAAATGTTTGCTAGTCATTAGTTTATTCGAAGTGATCTAAGTAGCCGTGACTGATGCACCCGTAGTAGCCATGTCAATTTTCTCCTGGTCCCTCTGCAGCCTTTCGATAACTTCTAAAACTAGCCGAAATTGATGAGCCAACGTAGTATAACTTGACCCCATTTGAAGTGACACTCAGCGATTGTTACGCGACAAACTTGTAACCAGAAGCAGCATGTCCGGGTATCAACGTGGCATACTGCGAAAAACAACTAGTTGGGTTCTTGCAGCGTTCGAGATGTTTGAGTTAGTCCAAGGGCATGCTAGCTACCATCTATGCACATTTTCTTTATCTTCCTGCGTGTTTCAGCTAAAAATTCAGGATCCTCTCGGTCATACAAAACTAACTCAAGAGACCCCGCAACTGTTATTTGGACTACTTGGAGAGATGCTTCAAGTTTATTGGGGCTACAGTGATACAGTTCCTCAAAGAGGGCTCAAGACCATGTATTGTGAAGGACTTGAGTCGTGTATATTTCCCCCGATAAAAGAAGCAACGTTTTTGCGGTCAGCCGAAGAGGAAGAAACTTCCAGTAGATCTGAATGCATTCACTGCTTGGATATTTTATCGCTGTTGAATTACACCAACCTCATTTGTCAACATCTTGTACCAGTACGACCATCACCGAAGTCCAGCGTAGATTGCACACCCGAAGCCCTTACGCAGACCGCAGAGTTATCCGGTATGTCCGTGTATTTTACTTGGTGTCCACAATCAAGTTTCATGGTATCTGATAACCAGATACAATTGTCTGCTGGTCAGTTATTCGTCTTAGCGTTTAGAAAAACAGGACAACTTGAATTCTGTGCACTAATCATGTATATGATCGTTCACCCCAAAAGTACATCATGTGTACGTAGAGCACGGACACTGATGATGCTGTTTCTGGGGCGCGTGCGTATAATTCACTCTCTCCCCATTGGCTGGCTGACACCTTTCCTAGTGTTTCAAGCGCGGCTGTTGCCGGATTTTGTTTCCTTTGTAACTAACAGCTATAGGGTAAGATAATAGCCGTCACACTCTTTATTATAACTCGCCTGATAAAGCACATCACTAAAACAATCGAGTGTTATGCCTTCAAACATTTTATAGAGTTATTGAACGGCTTTGGAGCCTATCTACTCTTGTGGAGGTGACCTCAGATCTCAGCCTCGTCATTCTGACATAGGTGATGCAAACATTATCAAAAAATAGGTTTCTATCTAGTTGTCTTCCAAGAGTGTTTTTGTTATGCTGAAGACAACTAAGCTTTGCCCGTTGTGCGCAGTACATTATAAACTTTATTTTTCCCTTACATCCTTTTCCAAATAGCTTAGATGAGCTCTTACCTAGTGGCAAATATTTAAATCATACAGTATTATAGGAACACAAAACACAGTGTGGTTGCTTCTTTCTTTTATCACAAAAGTAACTTGACAGCTTAGTTTAGAGCTGGTTAATCGATAAACATTTGTTTTCGGCAAAGACCTGTATGGCTCGAGAAATGAGCAGTACAGCAATTTGCCAAGGTGGGACAAATTCCCCGACATAGTATTAAGCAAGTGGCTCAATAAAAGCTCGGAGAACTCGGTCAAGGACCGCACACGCAGTACGTTTCTGTGTTCGTGTTGATATAATGATTGTGTTTGGTAGACTGCACTTCACATATAAAGAACATACACACTTATGTTTCCTCGGATGGTGTAGATGCACAGACTGGAACAATCTAAGTTCAAGGGACCCAATGACAACAGATGTTTGACTAACGCGGGCTAGATATATTCTCTACTGTTTAAGATGAGCGGATAATGTACACTAGGGAAGCTTGTCGAGAGCGCAGTTTGTACGTAGTTTCTGATGGTCGCTACGTGATCACCGGCACCGTATTCACTAATTTGGTTCTGGTAAGATTGAGTCATCCGGTGTGCTTCAGCGACAGCAATGTTCATCACATAACGTAGTAACGTCCCAGTTGCTGAGTAGATCTAGCATGATGTAGGTCGTTGGTATGGGAATGTATGGTTGTGAAATGACTGTAGCTCCCCTATGGCGTAGAATCTTTGCAACTTGGTTGGCAACGTCATTGTGCCGTTTGCAACGTGCGGCATGGGTTATGCTGCAAGATTGAAGCACCTGAGAGATTGATTCGTGCTGTCCACCTGCACCGTGGCAATAACGATCGGATGGGAGAAGGCGGTTGTCTGCCTCTGGCGTGTCTGACTCCTGTAGGGAGGAGGCCTGCGCGTAATTGCGTTGCGCTGACAAATAGGCGCGGGAAGACACGTACAGGTTGCCGGTGTCATCGATGAGCATTTGGATGTGTTGGAGCTTGATGTAGATGCGATCCATCAAGAGTAGTAAGTAGCTGAGTCTTCCATACCTCCTTGCTGAGGCTTTATCCAGTTGGCCCACCTACGATGAGTGGCGAATTAGCCGAAGCGGAAGGGTCAGGATTGGTCCAACTCGGGATGGCATTCGGGTTGGAAAAGCGTCGTTCCACTCTACCTTTCCGAAACAATGGAAACATGCTTAAGAGACTAGTAATGTCTAAGCCGTGATCATTAATGGATGTATGGAAAAAGTCAATGACTGTATCCTTTGATAATCTTAATCATTTGCGAACACCAGCCCTGATTAATTTGTCCATCGTTTTGCGGCTGTATCGATGGATTACTGCCAGCGGAAGGCTGTGAATATGTCCTGGGATGAAGGATGCCCTGAGCATTTCAATCCTCTGGTGTGGTCTTAATGGTGCATGCGAAGTATTTTGGAATTGCTGGCGTAGTTCATCCAGCGAGTGAGCAAGTAACTTGCCGTTCCGGTTATAAGCTAAACCCAGGAACTTAAACGAATACGTCGGTTGTACTGATGGTAGGTTCATCGATCCTACTTGTAGGTCAGAGGTGTCCAGCAGCGCTTTCTTCCTAGATCGATCCATAACGATATTTACAGTCCTAACTTTCACTTAGTTTATGGGAAGGCCAATAAGCTGAGGGTCGTTATTAAAAGTCATGGGTCGTTGCTGTAGCGTATCTTTGTTTTTCGCCAAGATGATCACGTGGTCCGCGTATGCAATATAATCGATCGGGCCTACGTGGCACATCTAGCGACAGGAGGCAGGCTTTTGAAGGGCTTAGTCGGACGTCATGATGTTTAACGCCTTGCTCTGGGCGAATTCGCACCTGCCGAAACGTTGAGATCACCGAGGAATAGTAGGAAGACAGGCAATCAATAATATGATTAAAAACTCCAAAAGTGTAGGTAGCTCTAATTAGAGAGTCGTGAGAAATGGAATCAAAGGCATTTGAAATGCCCACAGAAGCGAAAGTGAGGAGGAGCAATGGGAGTGAGAGGAGCGGATCATGGCATGAAGGACGGATGGGTCGTAATGCATCCGGCATTCTGAAGCAAGACAAAGTGTAGACGGTTGGGTGGAAAGGAGGAGATCCAACACTCAGAGGGAGTGAAAACGGAGTTCACAAATATTGAGCGGAAATGTTCCAGGAGCGTGAGACATGGGATATTTGGGATGAAGGCAACTCTAGCCACATTAAGTTTAGAGGAGTATGGGTAAGAGGCAAGGCTGCAGTCCAGAAAAGATGTAACGGTGTGGGGCTCCTTGCGTTCAATATCTTTCGATGTGATGCGGTCGACACCAGGCACTGAGCCTACCAACTGGCGCAGTAATGAGCAGAATTCAGATACGGACATGGGTTCAACAAAATCTAGGTTGGGCGGGATGATCACACGTGGGGATTGATGGGGAGGCGCTGGTGGCTGTGAGAATATCCCTGTCCAATATTCGATGAAGCCAAGGATTCGTTCCTCTTCTTGTAGATAGGAGGTCCGCGACATGCCATCGAACACCGTTGCCGCCGCGTCCCGACGCCTGTGATGATAAAGACATTAGATGTGACCGAACTGGCGCCTACGTCGTCCGTTATTCTTCTGAACGTTTTTGCCGCTTTTGGGCGGTTTGGATGATTTCCACGTATGTGGAAGCCGCGTGTAACAAAGGTTGTCGAAGCAGTACTGAATTCGTGTCAGAAACTGTGGGTGAGAGAGTCGTCTAACAGATTTTGATGCTCTATGACCCGTGCTTGGGTTAACTCTGCACATATCAGAAGTGGGTAGCAAGCCTCTCGGAGCGGGTGTTGGAACGTTGTAAATCGTTCAGATGCTAAGATATCTGAGTCATCCATGGCAGACGTGGTAGATTCTTTGTGAGTGAGCGAAGTTGGTACGATTCGAATAGGCGTGGGACGTGTGGCTGCCGTCCTGGACTTGTGATCCTGTGAGCTTATGTCGGAGGCGTTCAAACCAACTTTGTGGACCTGACGGAAATAGGTTGTTAGGTTCCCAGAACTTGATGATTACCACAATGTTGGCAATGGGGTGGCCAGTTTTGGGCGTCTGATGATCATGGGATAGGACGCCCAGGCCCCCGGTTATGGAGGCAGGTGAATCACGGCTAGGCATGGTCTGCGTTGTAGGCGGTGCTCCAGTCGCATTGAGTTTGCAGTTTAGAACTCTCTGGTGTTCTCTACTGTTCTCCGCAGCTTAGGCAGGGAAGTACTGTTGTAGGCGATTGGCTAAGTCGTGGATGGAACTAACATTCGACTTGAGAGCATCGGTGTTATTAAGCAAGGTCGAGTTCTCCAGGGCCGCCCAGTTAAACGGGCGAACATGCAAACGCTTCTTGCATTCTGCGTTACACTCAAACTCTTGATTGTGACCTGTGCGGTTGCGTGGTGGAGGTTATGCGTGCTTGTGTGAGGAAAGATTTCACACGAAAACCGTCATTGGATCAATGGAATTAGCATGGGGAAGCAAGCAAAACTTGACAATTCCCGCAGGTAAGGAGTGAAATCAGGCAAAAGTAACGCATATCGGTGGATGCGCTGAAATCTCATTTGTGCGCGTAATTTAGTGTTGTCATGATGTGTGTCAGTAACCTTGGTTAAGTCTTGTATTCATGTGGTGTAATGTTTTATGAAGTTGAGTTTTGAATTCAGTCAATGTAGAAGCGGAGATGACGGGAATTGGGAGAGCGTTCCACCACTGGGACACATGAAGTGAGAAGAAATGCCGGCGGCATACCTGCCGGCTAGACTGTGTGGCTAACTTCAAGTCATCGCCGCGTAGTGAGGTGTTGTGACTTACTTTTAATAAGTGTAGACATGCGCGGTTCGGATCTTTTAGGACCTGAAACACCATAATAAAACCATCGCGCAAGCGACATTATTGACCACCAAAAATTCCTAGGGCCTGTAGTCTATGCTGGTAAGGCCGATGAGTCAGGTCCTTAACATTTTTTGCTCTTCTTTGTGGAGTCTCAAGAGCGGCAAGATTACGCTTTCGCAAGGGGTGCCAGACCTGCATGAAGTATTCAACATGTTTTCCATTTGTAGTCAGCGCTGATTCAATTCTATCTAACAAGAGTACATAAACAAGCGAATAATTTATTTCTTGGCAAGGCGAGACACATTCTAGCATATGCGGCTCGATAATAAGCCATGGAACTGTTTCATCTATCGTGGATTGCAGTACTTTTAGCGAGTAACACCCAATCTTCACCGGCTCTTTCAATTACGGTCCCGCTGATCGCAGTGAGCAAGGTGCACTCCAATGCGAATCACGGTCCACATTGATATTGCCTATTGAAATCCATTCACAAAGCGATTGCTTCAAAATGACCCATCT